ACATTGTTTACACCAGAAAGTCTCCAGAACAGACATAGAGTGTTTCAATATGTATAAATGTTAGCCTTAACCCTAACCAGGCTTCTTCTGGTGGCTGTCCACCTCGTCCGTCGTCATGGCAACGGCTGTTCGGACGGAGAGAAAGATGCCGTTTGAAAAAGCGTGAGTTTTAGAATCTGGCTATAATTACTCACTTTAGCATTGTATGCTATCAGATGGTCTGTGTATATTACTGATGGTTTTATTTTCTTCTATAACTATATTTTGTGTTAAATTCTCTGGCTGTGTCCACAGACTCTCTTTTCTCTCTTTTTCTCTCTCTGTTGCATTAGATCCACCTTTAGGTCAACACACACACACACCATTTGTTAGCACATTCCTGTCATCTGCATGAATACACAAATTTGTCTGTATAATTTGAACATACAAAGTCGGTCCTGAAACCAGTTAAACTCCTCTGTAGAGGTTCTGCTGTACTTTCAAATTGCCATTTTTAGTTTCAGGGGGTCAAAGGTTAATAAATACATGAGCTGTGTGTCAGTGATCTGACATCTTAAGGCTCTGAATGAAGTCATATGGAAACATTTATCTCTCTCCATAAGCATTTTCTGATGTGCTTTTAAAGGTCTGCTAGCAGGTGACTGATAAAAGCTACTTGGAGCTTCTGGAGGCTGCAGACTTTGAGACTCTGGACTTTGAGAGGCCCGAGTCCCTGTCCATCCACCCATATTCATCCTTATTCATCCTTATTCCCGTTAGGAAAACAGCCCCCAGATCAAGGACCTGGTGTCCAAGTTTGAGGAAAGAAAACCGAAAATCTTATTTAATCTTGTTTGGGATTCGACTCATTCTATCTTACTTCCAGACCACAACATACAACGAAAAAACAAAAGAAAATCCTGCTGTGTAAGCATTGTTTACACCAGAAAGTCTCCGGAACAGACAGAAAGTGTTTCGATATGTACAAATGTTGTTTGAACCTGCTGCTCTTTGCTGTTTGACTCATCCCAAAGACCTCAAACCGGAGCAAAAAAAAAAAGCTGAACTCCACTCGTGACAGATGAGAGGAGCCCATGTAAATCTATTTCTGGAGGCCCGGTG